CGAAGATAGGGTTGCCAACTCCAGGTTGGGAAATTCATGGAGAGTTGAGGTGTGGAGCCTAGAGAGGGTGAGGTTTGAGGAGGGGTGGGACCTCAGACAGGTACAATGCCATAGACTCCACCCTCCAAACCAGCCATTTCCTCCTGGGTAACAATTGTTGCCAATCTCCAGGTGAGGGCTGGAGATCACTGACAATTACAACTGCACTTCAGGTAGCAGAGATCAGTTTTTCTGGAGAAAATGGTGGCCTCTGTGTCATTATACCCTGTTGAGGTCGCCACAGCACATTGATGTCGAGTGCCCAAGATCTTGGCACTCTCCCAGAGCCCCTTTCCAGAGCTCATTGTATTTATTTCCACAACGAGCCTTATTCCTAGTATGTCATAAATGTCACGGTAATAACAGTTAGTGTTTTATAGCAAAGGTTGAGAATTTTTCCTGATCTTTGTGTTTCTGTGTGTGTGGATTGTTTTAGAAATGTGTCACAGGACTCAAAGAAGAATGGGCTAAGGATAAACTTTGAAGGCTGTATAATCCAAGGAGGAAGCCCCTTCATAACATTAATTCTACTAAATTAGGCCAGACTAGCAAAACAGAACATGACCTTGTGAAATCTTAGAATTACTGGCCAGTGTCCTGCCACTTCTGTGCAGAAGACAGATGGAGTTTGCTCACATTCCTTTCCTTTCTTGCAGCTCTTCTCCACCTCTGGAATGATCATTCCTGGGGTCATGGGATCTATGCAGAGGCATGGCTGTGAGGGTCCATGGGTTAGAGTAAGGAGAGACAAGAGAATTAAATTAACCTCTTTCTTCAGTAGAGCTGAGGTTGTGGAAGAGGAAGGAGAAGTGATTTTACCTACTTGTCCTTCTCAGTCCAGGCATCCCCAACCCACACAACTGTTCCTCTGTGTGGTCCCGTGAAATGATCTTTGCAGGGGTTGGAATGAGGGTGAACATTTCCTGCTTGGAATAGTAGGATACTGCTCACTAATGGCACTTGTACTGGTTAGTACTAGTAATACTTTTACTATAGATAAATATGTAAAATGTTCAAATTTTGAAAATGGGTATTTAAACTTATGCAGACTTTTGAATGTGTATTTTCTCTTCTTGACAGCAAACAGTTTGTGGATTTGATTTGTTGCGTGCAAATGGACAATCCTACGTCTGTGATGTCAATGGCTTCAGTTTTGTGAAGAACTCAATGAAATATTATGATGACTGTGCTAAAATTCTTGGGTAATGCTTCATGAAGTCACAACTCTGGGTTTTCTTTGTCTGATCAATCTTTTCATATAATTTCTTTAACTTTTGAAACTCTTGTTTTTACACCCGGATATTGTCCCCCGTGCTCCAAAAAAAGAGTTGCCCCAGAAAGTACACAATCGTTCAAAAAATTCAGTCTAGGCACTGAAGCGTGTCTGACAGCTGTTGTATGTCAAGCAATTGTCCATCCTCTTTTTTGAAACCCTTCAATAGGAGATATTCTGCAACTTCTTTAAGCAACCAATTCTATTACTGAACTGATTTTATTAGTAAGGATAGTCTAAATTTACATTTATGTAAATTATTTTACTGTCTCATTTATTGGAATAATTGTTTCCCATTTTTTCAGAGATTCAGTCTAATAGCCTAATTTCCCACCTCTTGGCTAAGTGTATGCAATAATCCCTTAATCTTTCCTGATTTTTGCTTCCAGAGCTTTTATTATCCCCTCATCTTTTTTATGTGGCACTCACAATTAATATTACTATATCTCAGCTTGCCTGTGCTAAGCAGAGCAACATAACATTTCAAGTTGTAGATGTAATGGGCTGAATTCAAACTCCCATGAACAGAAGTTGGTTATGGAAACATGAACACATCAAGCTGCCTTCTACTAAATCAGACCCTTGGTCCCTCAGCCCTATCTACTCAGATTGGCAGCAGCTCTCCAGGGTCTCAGGAAGACCTCTTCTACATTCACCTACTGCCTGGTCCTTTTAACTGGAGATGCCAGGGATTGAACCTGGGACCTTCTGTATGCCTAGCAGATGCTAAGCCACTGAGCCACAGCCCCAGACAAAGCAAATCATCCCTACCTTCTCCTTCTTTAGGTAGGCCCCAGTGCCTTTTTGTTAGCCAGTTCATCCTCATATATACGTTGGTGTGATGTTCTCATATTTGCAAGTTATGGATTTAATTTTTCAGATCCTTTATTTTACCTTGTATGCAACCTTTTGTTTCATAAGTATTCTTATTCAAGGAGTATTCTATATAATTTTAATTTGTCATATCCTTTAGTTGACTCTGTACATAATAAAATGTATTTCATTACAAACCTTAATTCCATGACTGCCCTACATAAATTATGAGTTGCATCATCAGAATATCTGCATTGGTCTTTTGCAGAGGGCTCAAAATCCTCTTATAAATCCATTTAGTCTGATAAAGGGCTCTACATTACTACAGTCTGTTAGGTCTTTGCTCTGCCCCCAACAGAAGCACACATTATAGCTTTTAGCTTCTAATAATCACTTGTAGCAAAATGAACTGAAAGTCTGCAAGAGCATAAAAAATAAACCGGTTTTTAAGGCTCCATTAAATAGTATGTCTCATGTTTTACATTTGTTCTTCAGCTCACTGGGGAATGATACTGGGTGGCAGACCAGTAACCTTGTAGTTATAACCTATATAGTTGAAACTTTCCATTAGGCTATCAGATATCTAAAATAGGAACAGCCTTATGCTTCACAGGTTTCCTTTTCAGCTGTTCAGAGAAAAGACAGTTTGAAGTTTGTAAACTGAGTTATTAAAGTCATTATAATTGCTTTTCTGAAAGCTAATTTCCTGCTCTATTGTTATTGTATGTTGACAAAATTGTAAAAAGAAAATTTCTGAATACTCAAAACCTGTCTTCTATCTGTCTTGCCCAAATATTATAGAAATAACACCTTTGTAATTTATTTTTATAGTTTATGGACCAGAAGGGGATTGGCTGTTTATTATAACTCCTGTTGGACTCTTGCCCTAAGCCCCACCCACCCTCACAGAGGTCAAGGAAGAATACAGATGTCACTGGCATGCGGTGAAGACAGTAGCTGCTCCTTGCTCAGGCCAGTGAAGAGGAGCAAAGGCATAGCAAAGGCATAGCAGTGCCCAGCAAAGGCATAGCAGTGCCCAGCTTTACCCCATGTCAGTGGCACCCATATTCCTCCTCAGTGGCCTCACAAGCCTAAGCCAGGAAAAGGCATGGGAAGGTCCAGCTTTGCTCTATGCCGTGGCATCTGTATTTCTCCTTGCTGGGCCCCACCATGCCCAGGTTAGTGGAGAGCAGCACAGGCATAGTGGTGCCCAAATCTGCCTTATGCCAGCAGTGCCCATATTTCACTTTGCCAGCCACACAGTGCCCAGGCCAGTGAAGAGGCACACAGGCACCCAGCTTTGCCCTGTGCTGATGTGCTGTAGCTGATGAAGAGAAGCATGACCATAGGGGCCCATGACTTCAACACGTGAGGAGAAGCACAGGCACCCTGTACTGACCCAAGCGTATGACCATAGGGGCCCATGACTTCAACACATGAGGAGAAGCACAGGCACAGTAGTGACTGGCTTCACCCTGTACTGACCCAAGCTTGGTGCAACTAGTGAATAGAAGTACAGGCACAGTAGTTCCTGCCTTCACACTGCTGGCATGGATATGATGAGGCCAGCAAAGAGGAGCATGACATTGTTCCTTCTTGCTGACCTCACCATGCACACACTGGTGAACCCAGGACATCAATGCCTGGCTTCACCCTGTGGCAGCTGATGCATGTAGTTTGTCTGGAGAGGGAAAGCATGGCAATACCTGCTTTTGCCATGATGTCTCAGGTGGGATATGATCAGCAAGGAGGAGTTTGGTGGCACCTCCTTGTTCTCCTGCTGGCACTTCAGTCCTCCATCAGGTGAGGGGGATGTGACTTCAGAAAAGGGCCTAACTCTTTTCCAGAGAAGAAGAAGAGAAGAGATTGGATTTATACCCCGCCCTTCACTTGGAGTCTCAGAGCGACTTACAAATTCCTTTCCCTTCCCCTCCCCACAACAGACACCCTGTGAGGTGGGTGGGGCTGAGAGAACTCTGACACAAACTGCCCTTTTTCAAGGACAGCTGTGCCAGAGCTTGTGACTGACCCAAGGTCACATCAGCAGGTGCAAGTGGAGGAGTGGGGACTCAAACCCGGTTCTCCCAGATTAGAGTCCGCACACTTAACCACTACACCAAACTGGCTCTCTTCCAGTGCTGCATTAGTCCCCCAGTCTGCCCCTGTCAAGGACATCAGACTCTCCAAAAGAACTTACTATGGCAGTGTTTGTTACACTACCGATTCTCATATCTCCCCCCCCCCCGAAAGAATTTAACTACATGCGGACTATTAGAGAAAAATTAACCAGTATGGACCTCCCTTTGATTCAGAATAGGGCTGTTCAAGTTGAACAAATTTGGAACTTATCATTAGAAGTCTTGAAATAAATTTGATTTTAAAAGGCAGTTCATGCTGAATCTGTTCTGTTTTGTTTCCATTTAGGTCATTGAGAGCATAGTGTGATCTAGAGCCCTTTTCAATGCCCCTTTCCAAAATGTATTGAAGGCTGTTGCAGCTCTGGCACAATGACTAGTAGTGGTGCCCATTATTAAGGCTCTGGTGTCCAGAAACAATCAGAAACCATGGGAATAACATTTCTTATGGCTCCTAAAGTCTTGAATGCTGCAATGCATGCTTGTGGTAGTGTGCCATTATGAGCATAGCTATGCCCATTTAAGTCCATTGAAATAAATTGACTTAGAAGGAGATGGCACTGTCAGCCTTAAGTTATAGTTCTGTTGCCTGAAGGCTTCCTTTCCACTGTCCCTTGAGTTAATTTTGGATCAGGCTAGACTCCAGATGATCCTGGAAGCATTGCTAAATTTATTGGGAAGGGGCCATTAAGTCTGGTGGACTGCTGACTTCTCACTTTCAGTTCACCCCCATCACTGTCTTTGCTGTCAACCAAACGGTAGTGGGAGTGTTAACAAAATGGAATAAAAAATGCCTTTAAACAATTATCAGATTTTGAAGAATGTTTTTACTGTTTACTGTATTTGGCTGCCTCTACCCATTCAAACTGATAGTTTACCTATAATGTTGTTGTTGATTCTGATTAGCAGTGGCTCTCTAAAGCCTATAATGAAATTACTGATTCATCAAACTGTACCTGCTGGGTTAATGTGTACTCAAGATTTTAAGAAACATATTTTAACTATATTTTAAACTAAATCTATTTTAATTTAGACAAATTATTTCTCATGAACATTTATTTTCCCCTCATTTAGAAATATCATAATGCGAGAACTCGCTCCACAATTTCATATACCATGGTCCATACCTTTAGAAGCAGAAGATATTCCTATTGTGCCAACCACATCAGGGACAATGTAAGATAAAAATTCTTTTTCCTAAATTATGCATGCTGCTTGTTAAAATGTTTCTGATTTATTTGATCACAGTGCTTTCACTTTCAGCTTTTAATTTTTTTTCTGTCATGAAAACAACAAATGTATTAGTGTTACAGTACCATCAGTACCAGTTTCTGATGATGATCAGCAGGCTTACTGTACGTGGGCTGGAATGGATTGCCTCAAACTAGTTAATTTTAGCTTAGTTGGATCAGGCCCAAATTAACTAGTTTAAGCTTTGGCCTGATTCAAATCACAACCTGTTCTCTCATCTACTACTTGAAACCTTCAGTGCCACCAGCTATCTCATTCTGAAGTTACAATAATGATGATGGGGTGATGGCACTTTAAGACCTAGTAAATTCTTGGGAAAATACACGAGTGTTGGAAAACATGGAAAACATAGTTCCCAATCTGAGTCGGTAGGAACTACATTTCTCATACCGTCTACTGGCTATGGATAAACATTTATTTTGCTAAGGGTAACCCTGCTATTTATATTTCTGAGTTCTCCCTCTCATTCTAAACTTTGGTGGTGTTACTAGTTTCAACCCTTTCATGAACTGTAGAACAGTGGATTTTCAACAAAGCTTGTTTTCAACTGTCTTTTCAATATTAATATGTTATTTTGCATGTCCTTATCCTAACCAGTCTTTATTATGAATTTGAGGATTGGGCTAACATGCATCTGGAGACCTGGTTAGATAAGCTTGGCACCCTGTCTGAGTCCAGCTACTACTTACTGATTACTGTGTGAAGGAGCAGTTCAGGGTAAGAGTTTGGGGAGCTGTGGGAGCCATAGTCCATAAAGATCCCACTTTCCTCACAAAATACCCACTGAAAGACCTGACCTAAACTGAGTATCTTTACTTGGGTACTTGAGGCAGATTGGGGGATATCATGGAGTACCAGCTACCCCATACTTAACAGCCTTCTGACTGAAGTGGTTTCTGAGGTCATATTGAGATCTCCATGACTTCTTGACTTGTGGAATTTCAGCTTGTATACCAAAACTGCTTTAATAGGACGGTCTCAGTGGGTCTTCCTCTCAATAGTATCATTCACACACATATGGGTGGTCATTCACTTGATTTGGTTTTTGGCTCTGTTCAGAAGTAATGGGCAATGGATATTATTCCCAAAGGCAAAGCCATTTTCATGAATGAGTCAATGCATGACAGGGGTCATATGGCCCAGGGCAGAAGCGGCTCACCCAGGGCTCCTATCTGGCCTGCAAACGTATCTGGTGCAAGGGAGAGAAGGCAGGAGTCTCCTTGGTGGTGGGGGAGCATAGTACTCATTGTGAGGTGTGTGTGGTCAAAGCTGTCAAAAACCAGGAAGGAAATTGCTAGGGGGCAAGACTATGAGGCATAGGTAAAATAGTGGGGAGGATAACAGAGAAAGGACAAAGTCAAATTGAGGTGACGAGAGAGGAGGTCCTATGATGACTGATAGACAAAAACGGATAAATCACCAGGTCCAGATGGCATACATCCGAGAGTTCTGAAAGAACTCAGATGTGAACTTGTGGATCTCCTGACAAAAATATGTAATCTTTCATTAAAATCTGCCTCCATTCCTGAGGACTGGAAGGTAGCTAATGTCACTCCCATCTTTAAAAAGGGTTCCAGAGGAGATCCGGGAAATTACAGGCCAGTCACTCTGACTTCGATACCGGGTAAGTTGGTGGAAACTATTATTAAGGAAAGAATTAATAGGCACATAGATGAACAAAACCTGTTGAGGTAGACTCAGCATGGGTTCTGTAAGGGAAGATCTTGTCTCACTAATCTGTTAGTGTTCT